GTTATTGTCCCAGAGTCTGTGTCTCTTCAACACTCAAATCCCCCTGCTCCCATTTTAAACTGTCTTGTGAGAATTCTGTATCCCCAGCACTAGCCAAAGTAACTGTTCTGGATTCTGCAAGTCTCCCCCAACACTTACAAAAGCTTTTTCCTCTGCCCAGGATACACTTCTCCACTCCCAGCTTTCTACAAAGGCTCCAGAGCAAGCTAAGGAAATCTAAATGACCAATTTTCATTGTTGTCTTCATCATGCACCCCCCTTCTATTTTTTTTTTTCCTTATGTAGTTTGAGTGAAGTTTTTTTCAAAGAAAAGCATGAGCTTACTTGTTTAGCCCAATGGAAGTGTCTTTACTTTGGTGTCAGACACGGCAGAAAATGACACAGGAAAGTCTCCTCATTTTGTGGAGAAAAGACAGCCTTTCCTGTCATGTCCAAGGAGCTGCTCCTGCAGCAGACAAATGCCACTGGAACAAGAGGCAGAAAGAGACTTGCACACAGAGGATTTTGGAGTGTACAACCAGAATAAGGTCAAGAACATGCGCTCCTTTTTTTGAGAACATCTTACTGTCAATGGAGGATCGAGTCTCTCTCTAACAGCCACCTAGGTGAGGGCTGCCCATATGCCAGCGTGACTCTGCATCTACTTCCCGTTAGGGGAAGAGCATTTCAGACTTCGCTCAGCACTCGTCATGAGCCTCGTCTCCTGTTTTGCCAGGAGAAGGAGGGGGCAGGGAGAGCGGCGTGGCCGCACCGTGTCAGCCAGACGTGCACGGTGCAGCAGGCAGCGCTGGCGGCACTGAACTGAGGCGGGGGAGAGACAGAGAACATTGGGGGTTGATCAGCCCCCTGGAAATCAGAACGGCTGATCTCTATCTCCGTGTGCTTCGCTGGTTTGTTTGCTTTAAAAAACATCACATACTTGGTACTGACACCTATAGCTAAGGTTACTCGATATTTTCCATCACAAGTCTGTTTTCAGTTACTCAGAACTTTGCCAGACATCAGATAGTCAGATTCGAATTTTCCATGTTTATTTTCACTTTTTTTTTTTTCTTGAACATGGAGGCACTTAGCAAAGCGTAAAAAACAAATGCTATTTTGCAATTATAAAAATTTGACTTTGACACGTCTTTTAACATAGAAATATGTATATAATGAATAACAAAAGCTGCAAGCAACACACGAAAGTTAAGAATGCTTATTAGTTACCATTTTTAGGTTCTTATTTCCCTAAAGTGCCTTAGAGATGTCCTGATCCCCTCCCCTCTTCATGAAACAAATAGCTGGATCCAGCCAGGGAGGGAGCCAGGGGTCTCAAAGGGGCTGCATCAACATCCCACTGGTTTGAGCTGCCTGGACTGCAGTTCTGCCATACCTATTTTTGCCTCCTGTATCAAAGCTGGTGCGTGCTGGCAAAAAATCACTTAACACCGACTCACATCTCTTGGGCTCATTTAACAGAAATACTGAAAAAACAGGCTGGGACAGAACTCTCCTTCATCTCCTACCTCCAGCTGGATCTGGGAGAGGTGTTTCCAGCACTGCACCCAGCAACAACTGTGCTCCAGGGAACACTGCTAATTAGCCTGGAGGTTGAATTCTCCATTTGGCTGGGTGACAACACCACTGCTGCTGAGCAGAGCTGATGGGCTGGCTGGAGAGGAGGGGAGTCAAATCTCCATGGATCTCGACGGTGATACCTGCTAAGTCACCATGGGCTCCAAACCGGGCAAAGCTGCCACTGGCACACAGGTCTGGAGAAGTTTTCTCTCATCTCGGGCAAGAACCAGACTGGGTACTTTGGGGCTGTGCCCCCGGTGCAGAAAGCAAGGATCACATATGCTCTGGGACAGACCGTGCAGGGACATGTCTTGCTTTGTGCCACCCTTGTGTGTTGTTCTTACACTTGTGCACATTTCTTGAACTTATATAAGTCAGAGCCTTGTGACACTTGGACTTAGACGGCAACTTTCTCCCTGAGAACGATACGCTTGGGACAAATGTACAAACGAGACGCTGAGATGCTGCACAGCCCCAGTTGGAATGGCTGTGGGTTTTTTCCCTCCCTCAGCTACGCTGGGTGAGAATTTGCTTGCGAGGGCAAGCAGGAGCCCGCAGCCTCGCCATGCTGGGGACCCGGCCGAGGGTTCCTAGGGAGCCCACGTGCAGCTGGCAGGCAGGAGCCGGCCCCGCCCTGTGCCCCGTGCCCGGTGCATCCCGGCGTTCCCATCCTCCCGCCGCGCTGCCCCGGGGGGCGGCGGGGCCCGCGCGGCCCCACCCCGCATCCCATAATAGTTCACAAAGGCGACTCCATCCCATAATAGCCACCCACGGGAAACACACCATGGCAACCACCCCCCCCCACCCCACCCCCGCGCCATCCCATAATACCCTGCCGGCTTTATTGGTCCCGACTGAGGAGGGCAGGGGGGGCCGGGGCCGGACGGGGGCACCGCGGGGAGGTCCCGGCGGGCACCGCCAGGAAGCCCGGCTGGGGCTGCAGCCTCCCCCCGGCATCCCGCAGCACCCCCTCCTCCTTCCTGCCGCATCCCATAATACTTCCCAGGGAGGCAGCCCCGCTCTAAGGTAGAGCCATCCCACAACAGTGGCCCGGTCACACCGCGCTGGGAATGGTGCCATCCCATAATACTCTCGCCCCTCGCCGGCTGCGGCGGGCCCTGCCATCCCATAATAGCCGCCCGCTTCCCCCCCGCCCGCTCCTTGTGGGGCATCCTCCTCATCCCATAATACTCCCCCCGGCGGCACGAGCGCCCGCCATCCCATAATATGCCCTGCCACCCACCTGCCCCCCTCCGGTCGCGGGAGGCCTCGCCATCCCATAATAGTCGCGGCTCGCCCTTCCCCCCCCGCAGAAGGGCTCGCCATCCCATAATACTTGCCGCTTGCCAGCCCATAGAGCCGCGGCTGAGGCCTGACCCCGTGGGCCAGACCTTGCCTGCTCGGCTCGGCCCGGCCCGGCTCGGCTCGGCTCGGCCCGGCCCCCTGCACCTCCCCTCTCGTGTCTGCCGCCCTGCCTCGCCCCAGCCTGGCCGCTGTGCTCCTCTTTGGCTTCCCCCTCACCTGGCAGCCCGGCAGCCGCTGCTGCCCCAGCTGCCGCCTTGGCCACGCGCCTTCCCAGAGCCTTGTCCTGGGTGTCCCCGCCCGTGCTGGGCCCCTCGCCGTGGTGCCTTCCTCACTCAGGCCTCGCTGTCCGCCCCCAGCCCAGGCACTGCCCGCCGGCCCGGCCACCATCGCGTCAGCAGAGAAGCACAAAGCTGGAGCACGTGCCGTGCCGTGCCGTGTCGATCCGTGCCACCCGTGACACGGTGGGTGCGTGTCTGCTTCGGATGGAGCCCCTGCTGCCGGGGGCGCGGGACAGCGCTGGCGTGGCCTTTGTGACCACTGAGCCCTGACCTAGTTTGCCAGGTGCTGTGCTGCCGTTGGAAAGGCCTCCCGCTCCTTGCCCGCGGCCACTGTGTGCCATGTTGGGGTCGGCTCGCTATCCACTCACATCCGCATTATCACACGTCTGGTATGGAAGATAACTCCACATCTTGGCATCCGCTCATATTGAGTGTATTTGTTGTACTTCTGAAGGCAGTTCTTACCACTGTCTGGGTTCTGCTTTCAGCCCCCATCCCTGCTTTTGTGCCCCAACTGGATTTAGTGTTACGGGAGTGTTTCGGAGCTGCTCCGTTCTTCTCCTGGGTTCTTTCACTACCTGCCCTTACAAGTACAGCTCAGCACTTGCAAGGTTTATTTCTTGTTAAAGCCAGCACATGTGTCCTGACAGCTAAGAGAAGAAAAGGAAGTGTGAGCCCAGAAGCTGAAATAGTGACATGTAAAAGGCTGATACGCAGAAAAGAACCAAAAAACTGTAATTCCCCACACTCTGAACGGAAGCGACAAATTACAGACTTTGTGGATTAAAAGGTGGGCTGGGAAATAGTAATGAATGGTGACAAGAGAGTGAGGCGTTTCCTTGTTGGGTGGGATTCAGTAAAGATGCCTGCATCCCTTCAGTCAGATCCTGGCAGAACATTCAAAGGGATGAGGTGTTAGAGCAGCAGCAGCAGCAAGTTCGGATGCTGCTGCAAGGAAAGGCAGGAAGCATTCTCTGTTCCCGGTGTTAGACCCACGGCTGCTGCTGCTGCTGCTGCTTCCATTGGGGAAGGTGCTCCATCGGGCCTCGCCCCGGTGAAACCAGAGAAGGGGTCTGCCAGGAGCACGCCCGTGGCTGCGTGCCCACCGCGGCCCCAGCGGTGGCCACCGGCACCGGCGCTGCCGCTGAGGTGTGGTCCCTTTGTCTGTTGGCTTTCCGGCAGCAAACGCAGGAGCCCCCTTTGCAAACTCTGTGTTTTACAGGGAGTCCCCCTGTGGCGGATCTGTTTTACAGGGAAAGCGTCTGCAGGGGAGCATGAGGCGGTCGAGGATGGAGTCTGCAAATTGCTGCCCGTTTTATTCTGCCTGTCATACGTTTTGTTTGCAGATGATCCTCTGGCATCTGTGAGAAACAAGCGAGCAGACGCACGCAGCACTCCAGTGTCTTGGAGAGGGAGCTCTGGACTCAGAGAATGGAAGCCCTGAGTCCTTGTGACAATTCTTCCCACTCGCTTTTTTGAAGGTTTCTGTGCTCTTGGGCACCTATTAAGCCAGTCTCCAGCCTGCCTCCTTGGGAATATACCCGTTTTTGCTTTCTTTTACCTAGAGAGTAGCTGAAGGGCCAAGCGAGGTTGTGCCAGTTTGAGTTAACACAGAGCTCTAGTTTGCAGTGTATAGTCCAGACCACACCATTTGCACGTGGTGTTTAAAGCAACTTTACATCTGTTTAGTAAAACATCATAATGCCTAATGCAGAGGACAAACTTAAACTGCTCCAAGCCTGGCTTTTAATTGGATAAATCTCTGGTTTGGGCACACGCTTGCTTAGTGGAAATCGTCACAGTTTGGGTGCTCCTGTCCCCTGGCTCCTGCAGTAGATGTTGCTCCTCTCTTGGCTCTGGCAACAGAGCAGATGTGCCTGCTCAGTGCCTGCTGCAGTGGGAAGCCCAGCTTTTCACGGCACAACAGCTGCAGGAGGAGGGCTGTTCTGACTGCAGTGGCCGTGTACAGACCCTGCTGGAGCATCCCACTTGTCAGGGCCTGCCTGCCCTGCCAGCAGCCATTTCCTCCTCTCCTCCTCTTCTCCTCAGCCACCATGTCAGGTCCTGTGCCGTGCAGCCTTTCCCGTCTTGCACCTCTCACAGGCAGACAGGGTGAGTGCTGCAGCCCGGCTGCTGCCCCGGGAGCAGGAGCTGCATTTCTGCAGGAGCGAGAGTTGCCACCCAGCGTCTGTGAGCTGCAAGCGGGCACAGAAACGGCATCGGCGTCCCGGGCAGCGAGCCATGCCAGCCTGCAGGCTCTCAGTTTGATTGCACTCAGAGAACAGGTGCCTCATCCTTTAAGAATACACCAGATTTAATTATACCACTTCAAAATGTTCTGTCTTAGGTGAGGCTTTGAACATGTCCACATTAGCCATTTATGGAGGTGTGACAAGACTGTTTTTAAATGGATTGATTTACACTGGTGACATTGCTAACAGACCAACCGCGTTATGAGAAGCTCCAGCTTTTGCGTTTGACCTTCTCTCTTTCCACAGAAATATTTTAGGCTTTGTGTGTGAATTTGTTTCCAGTTATCAGGCCTCATTTCCCCACCTGCCTCACAATTCAGACAAAGCTTCTGAGAAGCCCTGATCTATGGCAAAGCAAGTCCTGTATTCCTTTCTTATTCTGAAGCTGCTGGGGACAGCAATGTGATTGATCCCAGAGTGGCAAGTTCAAAGTGCAGGTTTTAGCAAGGAGAAATTTACCAGCAGAGATGGAATTAGATAGACTGGGCATTCCTACTCTAAACCATTCAGTTGCTTGTAATTTTTATGATTGGAGCTGAAATGTTCCATTCTGGCTGTCTGCCTACATCTGATTTTTTTATAATTTTTGTTTTCTTTTTAAATATGGCTTCAGCCTGTACATTAAATCTACTCAGGGAGAAATAAAAAAAGGCAGAGCAAAACATTTTGGATTTGAGTGTTAAAGTGTATGCTAAGAAGAACAGTCTTTTGCCCAACTGCTTTGGAGGAGGAAGCTGAAACCTATGAAGGAGAGCTGTCCTTACGTCAGAGCTACACTACTCACTATCCCCATAAAAATCCATGCCAAATTTTGATCAATGATAAACCTTTAAAAAAAAAAATCCATTTCATGCATGCTCTGTAGGGACATTTGAGATTTTCCCTGTGTAGTTCTTCCAAGATCTGTTGTCAACACTGTGTCACAAAGGTGGGATAAGGTTATGTGAGTGCCAGACATCTTGTGTAAGGACCCAACCTCTGGTGACTGCTCTGGACCAGGCAGGGGAAGGAGGAGCAGCTGAGTGAAAGGAGAACAGCAAGTCCCTTGGGGAAGGGAAACATGGAGAACAGATCAGGGCCAGGAGCTTTATGATACTGTCTGTTGTGAGGATAAAGACAGAAGGAGTTACTGGAAAACAAAGGGATGGAACCCTTTGGGAGAAAAGAACCTTGACTGGCTGAATAACGTGACTAGATGGAAAATCAGAGTGCATGGGATTATAAAAGTCAAGAGTGATTGCTGTAGTGAAAGCAGGGCCTAGAGAGCGGGAAGACTATTTGAAAAAGCAAGCAGCTAGTCTTGGGAGCTGGGGAGAGAGCAGCAGTATTGGAGCCAGTGAAACGAGGAGCAAAAGAGGAGCTAAAAATGGTAGGAGGGGTGTAACAACACTGGATGTGGAGATAGGAAAGAACAAGCTGTGCCAGGCTCATTAAGGAACCAAAGAGCAGGAAGAGCATTCAGATAACAGAACAAGGAGACTTGAGGCAGGGGGGTGGGCAAGGAGCTGGCCAAACAAGCACTATTGTCCATCTTGTTCTAGGGGCACAAGCAAACCTTTAGGTTCCCGCATCTCCTCATTGTTGAGTCATGATTCAGGAATCCTGAGGCTGGCAGCACTTCTGTCCTGAAATGTTGAAGGAAAGAAAAAAAAAGAATAAAAAGTAAGACAGAGGGGATTCTGCAACAGCTTCCAAGCTGTCATTCTCCACATGAAAAAAACACAAATCAGTTAATCCTAAAAAAGATCTGATTCCTTCACCAGCCCATATATAACATCCTGAGACCATCTCACGGGCAAAAGAGCATCCCTCCTGGTCCCAACATCCTCATTTCATCCTCATTTGCTCCCCTTCCAGACTCCTTGCTAATGTCACGGAGACTGGACCAAATGAATGAGGACTGTCTATTTTAAAGTCTGTGCCTAAGAAATCCACAAATCCTGGCTTTTTTTTTGTTTGTTTTGTTTTGTTTTGTTTTTTGTTTTTTAGGAGGGGCTGAGTAAGCAGACCTGATAGAAAGCTCTTTATATATAAAACAGATAAGGTGCTCCCAGCATCTGTGCTCTACCTCTTCCTAGTTCCTATGTGCTCTGCTCACTTCCACTTAAAGTTTCCGTACCTGCCCTTCACACTTGCTTGCTGCCCAAGCCGTAGAGGGTTTCACCAGAGTTGCTGATGGGCAGGAGACAGGGACATCAGATCTGGATGTGGTTCATCCAAAATGTGTTGAAGGCTGTGTGATTCTTCTCCTCTACCCATCTTTTTCAAAATCCATGAAGCCACAGAGGGTGAAGTGGGACAGGCTGAGAGTGACTGAGCCCTATGAGGTGTGCCATTCCCAGACATTTGTCTGTCTCTGCAACAACACCTGGTATGTTTGCTGACAGATGCAGTGACCTAGACTTGAAGCAGAAACAAGAATGACGTTAAGAAACTTCCCAGAGCAGCACATAGGGGCAATGCCAGGTGTTAAAGTTGTTCTTCAAGTCTTGTGTTACCATATTTTTAAAAACAATTATTTAGTCAACAGCCAAATATACTCCACCAGATACCCAAAACAAGGACATTGCATCTTACCAACAAAGTTTCCAGTTTACCCTGCCCTAGTTGCATGTGCAGGCAAGTGGAACCTCTCTTTTTGTAATTTGACCCCTTTTATGGATGCTCAAGCTTTTTTCTTCCCCTCTCCCTGTCCCTCCCCTCTCCCCCGCCTCCTCTCCCTCTGGAGAAGCTGTGGGAGCAACAAAATATAAGAGATGCTGACTTTCCTTGACCAGCTTTCTCTTCAAAATTATACCCTGGAAATAATTCCCTCATCTGTCTGGGAAAGAAATTTGAGATGGATTTGATGCAGGCTTGGTGCAGGACAAGGAGACACAACTGCAGCCAGGAGCTAGACAAGATCAGCAGGCTGTAAGCTCCAAATGGCTGCAGGTTCAGACACAAGCAAGGCCCCATCAGCTTCCAAAAGCATCCATCACTGTGGCATGAGTCCAAGGAGATGAGACAAAAGGCCATTCTGGACATTTGCCGTGGCATCCAAGCACAGAGCCTGTGCTATGAAGATCCTGTGTTCTTGGTAGGGTCACTGTGCTGTCGATTTCTGAAAATACTCCTCTGCTAAAGAGCACAAGCATCTTCTCCAATAGCTCTCAGAGCCTTTCCCATTTTTTTCAGGCTTTGTTGCAGCCTGATGTCTCATAGGCAGCCTTGGCAATTTGAAACATAAACCAGGACAACTACCCTCTGCAGTGCTCTGCTGCTTCCAGGAGCTTGGCATGGGGAAGAGCTGTCTGTCAGACTCCGAGATCCACACCCACCACCCTGCTCACCCTGACAGGCAGGAAAAGCAGTACAAAGCTCAGGCAGATCAAACCATCAGCGCTGAGGAAGTTGTTTCTCAGGATCATTAAAACCACCCCCTGTCCTAAACACAAGCCAGTATGTAAAGAAACACTTTTTAAAAATTAAATTATTTTTTATTTTCTTAAGTTGGTGAAGGCTACCCCCTATAGAGAGATGTGGAAGTCAACCCAAGGACAGAAATAAAAGGGTGAAAAAGGCAGGCACAATCAGCTTCCTCCTGTGTTTTGGTGTCCTTGGGAAATTGCGCTCCCAGCTGAATGACATTTTTGGTGGAGAGTCCCTCAGGTTTTTACAAGAGTAGTTTTTCTTAGTACTTTCAGATTGCATGTCCAGAAAATGGCATGACGAAGGACAGCATGGAGGGAACAGAGAGCACAGGGTCAAGTTGGAAGAAAGTGAAACAGAGAATTGTATCTATGACAGGGCCCTCCAAAGCTTCAAAAATAGCTCAAGTGATGAGCCTGACCATTTCCCTTTGAAGCATTGATGTCACCCTGCCTGTGGCCATGATCCACTTACCAGACTGACGATATATTGCTACTGGCAGTTACTCTGAAACTAAAGTCAATAAATACCATTTCTAAATTAAGTAGCCAGAGAATTTTCCTATTGCTTCTCCTATATTTAATTCTTCCTTGTCCAGTAAGTCACGGTGTCTCACCCATTGCCTTAACTCCCTCACCATTAGAAAGTACAAAATGCAGAATGACAGAATAGCCTATGTCACTTTTTGTCTGCCTTACCCTTTTACTTTCTGAATTTCTCAATCACATTACCTCTGACTAAGATGGCATTTTCCCCTTGATTACAGCTGTGGGCTCTTTCACTAGGTAATAAACTTCATGTAACCAGCCACAAGATCCACTGATGTTTTTCTCTCACTGTATTTCTTCCTGAATAATTCCCCACATCACTTCCCTCCTCTGGAGGCAGGTCCTTTTGGAGCACCAAGTGTGCTCCTTGGTAGTTCAGGTTATATTCCAGATGTGCAAACAAGGTGACCTGGTCAAGAAGACAACCTCCACTTCCCAGGCCAACAACAAATGCCTTGCCACCCTTTGCAGCATGACCCCAAACACATTGGCTTGTGGCAGCACAGGTCCTTTCCCTGCCTACAGACTGTCACCAATAATTTTGGCAAGTGCTAATGAGGCACCATTACTGCAAAATATCTCCCACGTGTTTCCCAGTGCAGGTCTCCCATAGCATGTGTGCCACCCCCTGGCTCCGTATCCTGGGCACACAGTGCTGCTCTCAGCAGCTCTACTGCAGGGACTGCTGTCCCTCAGCTGTAGCAGCATGTTTCCCCAACACTTCTCTCTTTTTCTTTTTCCTTTTTTTTTTTCTTAACCTCCCTGCTGCCTCTGAATAAGCTGTAACTGGGGACTTTTTTTTTTTTTTTTTTAACCTCCCTGCCGCCTCTGAATAAGCTGTAACTGGGGACTCAAGCACACTGAAATTATGCAAATCGTCCCACCGGGTTTTTTGTAATGCTAATTATATCAAATGCATGCTCATCAATGAGAATGTCTAATTCCCCTTGCTCATTATCTAGATGTCACACACTGATATAGAAGCATCTGAAAAAATTAATCTCCTCACAACACAGTATTTGTGAACCCCTTGCCACCACCTTCACAGCTCCTGCCTTTGCCCCAGGACCCCCAGGTGATACTGGGTACGAGCACATGCACCAAACTGTCCCCAAAACCACCACTCCTCTGCTCCTTCCTATAGAGGAAGGACGCCTTATCATGAGGCTTTGGTGTTTGATTCACAGAATTACTTAGGTCTTGTATTTATGACTTAAATCAACAGGAGTGACACGATGGCTATGTCCTATGTAGCACTCCAGAAAGTGCCATCCGAAGTAGTTCAGAACATACATTTTAGCTACTAAGTTTCCTGCCTATAAAATAGTAATAATACCTTATCAGCTAAAGGGCCTCCTGAGAATGACGCTAATTCAAATTTATAAAGCCACTGGAAGTGGGGATGGTAAACACTACAGAAAAGGAGAAGGAGAAAAGAGAAGATCAGGAGCCCTGTTTGCAGAATGGAGCTCACATATGTGTGATAGACAGCTGATGGATTTGTATACAGCACAGAAAAAAAAACAAAGAAGGGGAAAAACAAGTAAAAGGCCACTTTTTTCCCTTCTCTGTGACCGATGTTCTTCCTATATGGTGAACAAAGAAGGGACATCGAGGGGAAAACAGTCTGTCATTGCGTAAGGAAGGACAACCGTGGCACCTATGCACAAGGAGTCCGGGGAGGGGAAAAGTCAGTCTGGCATTTCTCGACTCAAAGCGCAGGGCTGCGACACCTTCTGTGGGGATGTGCTTTCATTTATTGAACTGCTCCCTAAATGTGTGAGTTCAACATTTGCCAGGTTCTGATCAGGTAAAAACTCTCAGGAAGACCGTGCCACGGGCTAGATTACTTCCAGATGTTTTTTTAATTCTGTTCTTAACGCCTTACGGGGATGTTACTATCCTGACAACAAAATTAACTCATTTTCTCCCCTTGCTTCCAGCGAAGGAGCGCTCACACATTTACTTACCTCGGTTTTACAGCTTCTTGCCTTTATTAACATTTTTTAAAATTTACAAACTGCTTTTCTTCCGAAAGCTGTGAGGAGCTGCTTTGCCCCGCTGCATCTCGGAGGAGGCCGGAGCTGAGGGAGCGGACACCCCGGTCCGTCCCGGAGCGCCGCCGGTGTCCGTGTGCCCGGAGCCCCCGCGGGGGTCCCGCCGGTCGGGCCCGAGGCGCCGCCGGGGGCCGCTGTTGGCCGCGGGGAGCGCGGGGCGGGCGGGGAGCGGGGCGGGAGCGGAGCCTCCTCCGGCCGGCTCAGCACCGCCTCCCTCCACGCTCCCCCCCTTCTTTTTATTTTTCTTTTCTTAATTTTTTTAATTTTTTTTTTCCCCCATGGTGTTAGAAAACCTCTTTCATCATCACCTGGAGGTGAAAAATTTGATCCTCTCCCTCTACCCCTCGCCCTCCTTGGGAGAGAAGTTCTTCCTTGTTCCTTTGTGTTTCAGGGGCTCCAGTGGAGGAGGGTTGACTGCCCGTGCTTCAGGGGACAGCGTATGCAGTGCAGGGAGGTTTTACAACTACCATCGGAGCTTTGTCGCTGTCACTGTCCGAAACAGGTAAAAGCAGTGACAGCTATGCCTGACTTTAGTACTTGCAGACTCCCAGATAACCTCAAACAAAATCACCAGCACGGCAGGTTCTTCAGTGATATTACATTATTTCTTCTTATTTTGCTTGGGAGCCGTCACTGATCGCGATCTCGCTGCTCAAGATGCTGTGCAAACCAACCAAACAAAAAAACCCCCGATCCTTGCCTAAAGATCTCTCCGAGTGTAAGAGCAGAGACAGTGGGAATGTGGGAAACAATGAGGAAACCCTGAGCCAGTTTTGGTCAGCAGGATGTACAGCAGCATCAGCACAGCGGCAGCCTGGCCTCTGCCGAGATGCTGTTAGCACTGCAGAACACACGAGTTTGCAAAAAAGGCTTCAAAAGCAACACACAAAATGTGAAGCTTTCGCTGCACTCAGCCACAGGATCAAGGACTCTGCAGCTAAAAGGCAAGCAGGGTATGCAAAATGTAATCCGAGCAAGAACAACTCCGGGAGGGAAAGATAATAATAAAAAAAATGCCTGGGATGACAGATCAGCATCTAAAACACAAGGTCAGGGAACCATACAATTATTTAGGTTGGAAGGACCTCTGGAGGACATCCGTTTCAACTCCCAGCAATAGCGGGGGGGGAGTGGAAGGCAGCATGTACCTCCCAAGCTCAAAGCAGGCACAGCTGAAGTTGCTCAGGGCAATTGTAATACAAAATACATGTTTTGTTGTAGGGATACATCTAGTGGTGGGAGGCAGACAGCCAGTACACAGTGGAAGGAATAAAAACAGTAATAAAAGCAATTTGAAGATAAGGTCTGGCTTGTTCTGGGACTTCTGAAACATCTTTTCAAGCCAATTTACAGAACTCAGAGTATCAGAGGGTTTCTAGAAAATATAAAATCAGAGGGTTTCTAGAAAGTATAAAATACATTTTAATATTAATAGTCAGGATTAATAGTAATAACAATACTTTTATATATCAACCAAGTAGGGAACCATTTCCAGAAGCATAGGACATATCCATTCTGGAAGTCAAAGGAGATGAAATCCTAATGTATTTGTACATTTTTGCAGATACTGTCTGATCATACGGAATAAGCGTTCTGTGCGCCTTTGCCATCTCTCTGACCTTTCACTTGTTTAGTCTTACTTGATCAGGAGACATTTGTTTAATGTTCACATCTGCAAATTAATTTAAGTACAGGGAAGTAGTGAATAGTGAATGGCACCTCTGACATACTTAACAGGAATGCTAATTCAAGAGCTATCACAGTAGGATGTAGAGGGTCACCTATACAGGTTGAAAAGACTTTGCTAAGCTTATATTCCCATTTAACTTTCCCTTCTTGAATACCATTGCTTCACATAGCTCCTGTTGTTCTGAACACAAACTTTCAAGTGGTTCTGTTTTGTACTATTGGACACCATCATACCATAGAACTTTCAGATTTGTTTGTCTGGGTATTTTTAAACACTGACTAAAAAGAAGCCATAAAGCAAGATAAGGGTGAATGACTCATTCCACTAAAAGACAGCACATACATGTGCTATTCCTTATCACCATGTGATGGAATAAAAAACTCCTGAAGCTTACAAAGCAAAAATGCGGAAGCAGAAACTTAGCTAACACCAATTCTCTCTGTCAAACATGAAAAATATCCCAAATCCCCTCTAGAATCCAAAGCAATTACATGTGACTAGAATCCTCAAAACCAAAACAAAACTAATGCAAGCTGAAAAAGACTGAATACCCAAAGGACAAAACACAACAGCCCACACTGGGCCCACAGCTATCGATATGCAACAATTAAGCAAAGCCTTCAGAACCCCAAAGTCAGGAACTTTTCTGCTGCATGTAACATGACCAGCAGCCCTCTTTATTGTTAAACTGGTTGATGAGATTCATTAGGAGATCAGCTTTGCAGTTATTTATAATTTAGTCAAAATATTTGAGCTAAAATTTCCTCTGCTGGAGGTGGAATATTTATTAAATGTTCCAGGTAAAAATAGTTCCACTATTTTCAGGAATGAAGCTACAAGAAAAGATCATGTTTTCTGGTGTGCTTTTTGAGAAGTTGTGTGCTGTGGAGATACTGTAACTTCAGCAGAGGAGCGGCCTCTTCCGAAGGTGTGGTATCTGCCAGCTGACATTTCATTCCTTCTTGGCAAGCTCGCCAAGAGAAGACAGAGCCACACTCTGCTCGTAGTGGCCCTGAGAAAGCACAACAGCCATGACTTGCAACAATCCTGGTGAGCATTAGGAAACGCCTCTCCCCAGGGCACGTTTCAGCACTGCTGTGGGTACCTCAGCAAGCTGAGGAATCGCCATCCTTGGGAGGTGCTCAGAGGACACCTGGGCAAGGCTCTGAGAAACCTGAACTTGCCACGTACATCCTCTCTGCTCCTGGCTTGGGCTGTATGAGCCTGGGGACAGGTCAGAGGCAGTGGAGCTGAGCAGCCTCTTCCCTCTGATGACTTTGGGGAGAGTTTCCAGAAAGCTCTGCTGGAGCCTCAGCCAGGCCTGGCCCCCTGCCCCAGGAGATGCTTTTAGGCTGGTGCACTTGCCCTTGGCTCCTGTCTGAGGAGTCTGGCCTGTGCCTGACCATGCAATCTGTGGATCTAGACCCGTGGATAGGCTTCCTGTCTTGACCCAAGACCTGTCTTGTCATGATGGACTTGTCAGGCAATCTCTGGACTGTGGCTCACCTTGGTTCCTGCCTCCAGACCCAATCCTGATGCTGACTTGACTTCTTACTTTGACCTTGGACCTGCCCCATCACCACAAGCTCGTGTGATGATCTGGATTCCCAGCTGAACCTGGCTATCTGCCTATACCTGCCTTTGTCTCCTTTCCCTTGCTGGCTAAGCCTCTTCCTCTGCCTGCCTTGTTACATGCCTGGATCTCAGCTCTTGTATTCCTTTAGGGAGCTGCCAGCCCTCACCGACCCCAGCAACCTGCCGTGAGCAGGCAGCCTCAGTAGAGACCTCCAGAGGTCCCTTCCCATCCAGATCTTTCTGTGAACTTATAACAGCACTCTAGCCAAGTTAAAAGGAAAGAAAAAAGTAGCTTCTCTGTGCAGGGAAGAAATCATAGCTCTGAAGGCATTGCATTGATGCTTAGGTGCATGGTGCATTACACTAGGAAAAGGAGAAAGGACCAGAGGGACAGGGACAAGGAAAGGGGTCTAGAAAGGATGAAGGTGGTAGAAGGTTTGAAAACAGGCAGCAGTGCATCTGCTGTAATATCACTCCGTTATCCCATAAATCCCAGGACAAAAGGGTAGCAGAAGAGATGCACACAGCTCTGTTTCCTCTCCAGCTACACTTTGTCACTGTGTCACATTCATGGCAGTCCTGAGTCTTTAAAATAGGAATATCTACTGCCCTACAAGCCCTCTTCCACCTTTCTCCCTGCATCTCTTGGGCACCATTAAATGTTCTTCATCTGCAATGGATTTCAAGGCTGCTGTGCTGGTGATGCATGGGCTGAGCAAGGGGACAGAGCTGGCTCACGCAGGGCATATGTCTCACAGGCAGTGGGTGGCACAAGGATGTCTCTGTGGAGAGTCTCATCATCTTCTACAGGTCTTCTCAAAGACCTGCTTCTGCAGTCATCTCTCATAAAAGAGAGGGTCTTCAAGGGAGACTGCAAAAATGGATTTAAAACATGGTATCTCCTAACACCAACCCGTGATGTATTACAATACATTTATTCCCACAGCAGTCATGAGGTAGGAACTTGAAACCAGATTTATTGCTTATTGAGAAGTCTAAAAACTATAAACCCTAGCAGTCTGGACTACATTTCTTGTCACTTTCCCTGACCTTTCCTTTAACATTAAGAAAAACAGAACCAAACCACTGTAATGAATCCACTCCAGAATAGCCTGAGACCTGCTGGAAGCCACAGAGAGGCTGTTTTGTAGTGCAATTGGAAAGGCAACCCTTGGCCATCAGCAGGAGTGAAAAACTGGGCCTTCTGGCACTGCCTGTGTACAGCTGGATCTCGCTTCTGGGGAGATTTATAGGGCTTTCACATACAGTGCAGCCTGAAAAAGCATGTACAAACAGTGCAAGCAAATACATCTCACCACAGCTTCATTCTCTGACATCATTCCTTTTCAACAGTGAAAATCACTCAGACCCGAAATCAATCGTCCTATATAGGGGCCAGCAACAAGAGAGTGCAAAGCACTAACATCAGCATGAGCTTCTGACACGATGACAGTATTGGTATCCTCTCTTTTGTTCTGGAGCCATTGGGAATGTAGTTTTTTAAAGCATGCTAGTGTTTCCCAAGCTATTTTGCTTTAGGTAAATGTGTAGCCATTGTGCCACGTGCGTGTGTTTACAGCTGCAGATTTGACATACCTCCTGAAGATTGTTTTGCTAAGGTCTGTGATTTTCTATATAATTAGGAACCTATTTTCTGCAAGATTACTGAAAACTCAGCTATTCTCCTTGACCTCAACAAAGCTTGCTAAATGCTTCAGTTCTTTTGGAAAATTAAGATACTCATTTAGGTGTCCTGTGCTGGACCTATGACTCAGATTGAAACATCTGGTCAAAGGCTTTCCTCAGCCACTGCTAGTAAATTCACTTTGTCAGCAGTGAGTGCC